GATGAAGGTTAAAAAAACCCTACCTTTATTTTATACAACTTTTCTGCCAGTATATTAAAAAAAAATTCTCAACTTGGGGCCACACAGAGATTTGCATGTGATAAAATAGTCTCTTAGTTAGTTCAATCTGCTTCTAAGAAATTTGTTGATATTCCAATTCCAGAAGGACAGAGTTCAGACTCCAGATGGTTTAGGAATAGATATGTTTAGCTATATTTGTTAGAGTAGGCTCATCTGTTTTAACAAATAGAAGCAAAAAAAAAAAAAGGGTCATACGCAGTTTCTTTCCAAGTCTTTCATGAATCCAAGGCAGATGCTTCTGGTCAGCTGGTGGCAACCCTCCATGTGACAATTTAGGAGTTCATGCTCTTTTTATCTGGCATCTCTAGCATCCTACCACCAGCCTAGACCAGTGCTTCTCAAATTTCAATGCCTGTATGATTTACCGGGAGTTTGCTATAATGCAGATTCTGTTTCAGGAGGTCTGGGATGGGACTAAAGTTCTGCATGTATAATAAATGCCAGGTGATGCCAGTGCAGCTGGTTCATGGACCAGACTTTGAGAAGCAAGGACCTAAAGACCCCATCATCAAACACATCTAGATGGGGGAGGAGAAAAGAGCATGAAGCATGTTGGGGGTTTCTGTGGGACAGGCTTGGAAGTGGGATATATCACAATTTTTTTGGCCAGAACTCAGAAGATGTCTGTGCCTGACTCATGGGAGGCTCAAAAATATAGGCTGTCTGTATGTTCAGGAAGAAAAGGAAACATAATTTAGTGAGCTGCTACATATCTTTGCCACAGTAGGGGATTTTTGGTGCTAGAGCGAATTCATTTTTATGGTTTCCTGATAATTCTATAAGAATTCTTCCTAAATGTTCTCTTTTCCTATTTTTCCTCAATATTAAATAAAAAGGTTGACAAATTGCTATTCTTCTTTGCAAATGACAATGCCTGGCACCTATAAATAACTGGGTTTTTTTTGTGAAGTGTGAAGCTAGTTTTTTGTTTTGTTTTTTTTTGAGTTGGAGTCTCATTCTGTCACCCCGGCAGGAGGGCAGTGACATGCTCACAGCCACCGTATCTTCCAAGTAGCTGGAACTACAGGCATGCGCTACCATGCCCAGCTTTAAAGCTGTTTTTAAGCATAGTTTCATTAATCTTGGGAGTTAGAAATGAGGTTGGGTCAGTGTTTCCATGCCTAAAATACTCAGGTATGCAGAATAGATGTGACCTCTGCATGGAGATAGTGTAGCTGCGAAGCCAATAGCAGCCTCTTCTGGTAGTCCTGTGTGGTTTCTTCCAACGGCAGCTCTCATGGTCCTCTCTTGTTTCTTATTGTGGGATTTGTCATATCCCATAATGGAACAGATTTTTCTTACAGCACCACGAGGTGTTTGTATTCATATGGTGCATTCAAGATCCATCTAGACTACGGAATTCATTTAAACAGCTTAGTAAAAAGTTAGCTGAACTCAAGTTTCAAGGACAATTTCAAGCAAATGCATATGTTATTGGAGTTGATCCTTAAACAGGTACCAAGGGGCATGTCTGGAGGGTCCGTGAGTGAGACACTTGTGTAAGTGTAGCTTGTGGTCACAGCATAACTAATAATTACCTTATTATGTCTAAGGTGTAGGTGAGGAAAATGGAGAGTTATTTTATTCTTACTACTTTATGCCCGAATGGGGTTGGGGGAGAAACTCCAAAGCTTTCATCAGGCTTTTATAGGTTTTGCGATCATATCTTCCCAACTTAGATGTGGTCTGCAAGCTAAATGATGTTGTAGTAATTGGCAGATTTTCAAGGCTAATATATGTTTAGCTTGCAAAGTATGCCGTGGTAAAATAAATTTTTTTGTTATTCTTGTTTTTTTACTTATACCTCTTGATGAAATCACTTAGTCAACACCTTATCAATTCATAACAAAGAAAGTTCAATGTTTCATTAATAAGCCACAAATTCCTTCTCTCTGTTCTTAAAAGACTTTGTTCATTTTGTGGTACTTTGTACAAATTCAGTCGTAGAAAGTATGTTAAAAAGTTGGGCAGAAATTTCATTTGAGAGTCTATAGGAAGTACAAAGCCTTTTACCTCAAGGCCCCCAGCCTGAATCTGGCCAATGTTTAAACTTCTGCATCCCTGCATGTCAATTTCTTACTTTAATTATGGCTTTTCTTGCATACATTTGAAAAAATGAGGATTAGTCTCACCTTGGCGCTTGAATCATCTGCTGTTCTTGCTTCTCCAAGGCTAGTTGTACCTTGTTGGTTCCAGTTCTGCTGCTGTTCATTTTTTACTTTGCTTCTGGTCATTTTCTTGGACTCTTGGACCACAAGCCTCTCCAAAGAGGGAACCAATAACAATCTTTAAAGACACAATCTTCAATGCCATAATCATGAAAGATAAAAATTCCTAAAATCTAAAATCCAGAAAAATCAAAATTCTTACAATATAATTATCGAAAAAATAGTTTAAAATTCTTTAAAAGATATTTATTGACATTTTAAAGGGGTATTTGTTTGAGAAACATATGAAAACACGACAGATCACTTCATAGGTCACAATAAAACAGGCAATAATAACATACAATTTTTGCAAACATAAACTCTCAGGTATACTAAGGACAGTAGCATAGGTATAATAGTTATGAGCAGGCAAACTGGATTCATAAAGTAATAGGTCAACAAATGAAATATATAAATGTGTATTGGTAATTGAGTGGACCCAGTTTTATAATTGTGTTCATATGAAATAAGGTGTTGAACAACCTGTCTTTTGGCAAGATTGATAAAAAATCTTGATGGGTCACCACCATGTATGCTGTCATCCAAAGAGTCGAGATCTCAATAAATTTTATCTTTCACAAATGTAGATGTACAAAAATGACATCTCTTCATTTATTGAAGATATCTCAACATTTTAACCTACATACACAATGCTAACACACAGTCAATATTATGGCAGTGCCCATTTGTGGAATAAAATTTGCAAAAAGTGCATAAAACAAATTAGAATTCTTTAAAAGTCTTTACACAATTTACCTCTAGTATTGTAAATAATGCAAAGATAAAATATATAGCATAGGGAATTATAAAAAATAATGCTGACAATTTTTTTTTCTTATAAATGTTAGGCTGACTTGTAAGTGCTGCTCTGGACAGTTACACAGTTAGTTTACAATGAGGAGTTATCTAACTCTGAACATACCGTACATGGCAATTAGAAGTCGTCAAGGCAAGAGGAAACCACAACCAACACAAAACACCCAGAACAGGGAGGGAAATGCAGGGAGAAAGGTAGAGTTGGTTTCTTATTTGTCAAAGGCAAAGATAACTCCTCAGCAGTCTGAACAAAGGAAAGGGATACTTGGCACTGGGAGAAAAGACACCAGGATACAAAATTACATGTGTTGTGACTCCAGCTGTCCCCATCTCCCTTAAGAGCAGAGAAGGACAGTTGAGGCAAACAAGCAATTCTGTGAAAATTGCTTAGAAACCCTACAAATCTGATTAGAATCTAAACTTCTATTTTGCTTTAAAAAATGCTTGAATATATCAAAAGGCCTGCTTTAGTGACATGCTATTCCTACCAGAAAATAACCCCAATACCCCCTCTGTCAGTAACATGCTCAAGTTGACAGCCAACTCTTATTTCTAAACCCTTGTGTGAGGACAAGTGTATGTGCCTTTTATACCAAGGCCACAGAGATCAAGTGACTGCTAGTCACAGGTGTCACCTGGTAACTAGCCAGTGTCCACTACCTCTGTTGGGTGGGCAGGGCAGACAAACCCCAAGGTGGTAATGAGAGAATGAGCCCCAAATCACCAGCTTACCAAGAACCACTTCCCCCCACCCCCTACTCAAAAGAAGATACTCATTTCTACAGACTATCTGTTCAAGTTTGGCTCCCTGTGACCTAATGGTTTTCTCCTTTAGAAACACAAACATAATCCACACAACCATATATAATTTTTTTGTTTTTACATTTAAATATAAAAATACTACTCTGCTTTGTGTGATACTTGGAGGACCAAGCACTAAGAACTTTTTCTTCTTTAAGGTAGGGAGCTCCATCCATGTATGCACTGAGCTTTGTATTTAGGCCTTGAGCTCTAGTAAAAGAAGCCCAACAAGAAACCAAGGGTATTGTCTCCCCTGATCCCCAACCCCTACCTTCTCTCCTAAATCCCACTTTTAACTGTATAACCTCCTTTTTCACCAAAAGGGGAAGTCCTAACCTAACCAGGGGAAGTCAGGTCTTCCCCTTTCATCGACTTCGAAGAAGAGTCCTTCCCCTCCTGCAAACATGCACTCAGTCCTGACAGCTAAGCCTACTGGACAGGCACAGCCCATTAAATAGAAGCAGTGGGCCGGGCTCAGTGGCTCAGCCTGTAATCCCACGCTTTGGGAGGCCGAGGTGAGTGGATTGCCTGAGCCCGAGGGTTCGAGACCCGCCTGGGTAACTTGGCGAGACCTCATCTCTATAATAAATCAAAAATTAGCTGGGCATGGTAGCACGCACCTGTAGTTCCAGCTACTTGGAAGGCTGAGACCGAAGGATCACTGGAGCCCAGCAGGTCGAGGCAGAAGTGGCCGGGAGCGGCCACTGCACTCCAGTGGGCGACAGAGTGAGACTCCAACTCAAAAAAAAAGAAAGAAAGAAAGAAAGAAAGAAAGAAAGAAAGAAAGAAAGACAGACAGACAGACAGAAAGAAAGAAAGAAAGAAAGAAAGAAAAATAGAAGCAGGGGTTATGTTTCTCTGTCCTCCTCCGCACTAACACACTAGAAAGCTTCAGTGATAGGGAAAAAAAGGAGGATGGTTATGAAGAGATTAAGAACTTGACCCCTCCACCTGGTCAAAGAAAGATTAACTGGGAACCAGGAATACAAAGACCTTGATATTCCCACCCTGTGAGTTACAACTGGGAGAGGGGGAAAAGAGTTGGAGTGGGATGAGTGAGGAGGAGCTCAATGGCTGGAAGTCTATCTAGTCCACTTAACTTTTGTACTGGAAGGACGCATCGCCAGTTTCGTTGAGAAGAAATGTGTGGATAAGAGCTTCTGTCACCGCAAAGGGGTCGCAGTTGGCAGACGGGCGATGGTCTTTAAAGTAACCCTTCCTAGCCGGGCTCGGTGGCTCAGCCTGTAATCCCGCGCCTTTGGGAGGCTGAGGTGAGTGGATTGCCTGAGCCCGCATGTTCGAGACTCGCCTAGGCAACTTGGCGAGACCTCATCTCTATAATAAATCAAAAATGACCCGGGTGTGGTAGCGCGCACCTGTAGTTCCAGCTTCTCGGAAGGCTGAGGCGGAAGGATCACCGGAGCCCAGCAGGTCGAGGCTGTGGTGGCCAGGAGCAGCCACTGCACTCCAGTCTGGGTGACAGAGTGAGACTCCAACTCAAAACAAACAAACAAAAAAAACAAAACAAACACACAAAAAAAGTAACCCTTCTTCTCCTGGCCGACAGTCCGGGGAACGCGGATGCTGGCGCTATGGTTGGCCACGCCAGCAGAAAAGTCATTGATGTTGGAGATTTCATGGAATCCAGTAAGGCACCGGGCACTGTCCCGCCCTCCCTTTGGATCGTAGGCACAAATGTGGTACTGGTGCTGCTTGCTTAGTTTCTCGATGGCCTCCTCAATGTACTTCAGACCATTCTCCTCCCGCATGGTCTTAGTGCTGAAGTTGGTGTGGCAGCCTGCACCATTCCAGTTCCCAGGAATGGACTTAGGGTCGAAGGTTGCAATCACTCCAAAGTCTTCACACACACGATGCAAGATGAAGCGTGCCACCCAGAGATGATCTCCCATGCTGATTCCTTCACAGGTTCTGATCTGGAATTCCCACTGGGCAGGCATGACCTTGGCATTAGTTCCCACTATCTTGACTCCAGCACACAAGCAGGCCCGGTAATGAGACTCCACGATGTCCCTGCCATAGGCTTTGTCTGCTGCCACACCACAGTAATATGGACCCTGGGGCCCTGGGAAGCCTTTGGAAGGCTATCCAAAGGGGTGACCATCTGTCCCCATGAGAGTATATTCCTGCTCCATTCTGAACCAGGGTTGCTTGTTGCTCACCATGTCCATTATCCGTTTACTGGTGTGCCTCAAGTTGGTCTCTGCAGGCTTTCTGTTGTACTTAAAAACTTCATAGAACATCAGCTTGTTGGGGTCCTTGCTGAAGGGGTCCCGAAACATGTCACTGTTGGAGCCTTCAGACTGTAGAGTACTAGAACCATCAAAATTCCACTCGAGCAACTCTTCCACACACTTGGGCTCAGAGTCCAGGGTACCGGTCTTGCCCCACAGTCCTTCTCCAGTACCATCGATCCAGATATATACGGCTTGCAGTTTGTCACCCTCAGGCAGGGACATGTACACCTGCTTGACGCCTTTGTTTAGGTAGGAACTTGCTGAGGTGGCCATGGTGGAAGATGTTCTGGGCCGCGGGCAAGCAGACAAGCAGGTAGGCCGCGAGAGCGAAGTGGAGAGGAGACAGGGAGCTACTCAGACGTGATGCATGTCTCCCATTCTTGGCTCTGCTCAATGCTGGCAATTTAAAATAATGGCCAAGTTTGGTGGCTCATGTCTGTAACTCCAACATTTTGGGAGATAAAGGCAGGAGGATTGCTTGAGACCAGGAGTTTGAGACCACCTGGGCAACGTATACACATCTCTACAAAAAAATTTAAAAAATTATCTGGGTGTGATGGTGCAAGCCTGTAGTCCCAACTACTCAGATTGTTGATGCAGGAGGAATACTTGAGCCCAGGAGTTGGAGGCTGTAGTGAGCTATGAGAATGCCACTGCACTCCAGCCTGGAAACAGAGTGGCACTTTGACTCAAAAAAGAAAAGAAAAAAGAAAAACTAAGAAGAAATAAAGAAAAACCAAAAAGAAAATTTGACATATGAAAAAGCAGCTTACAGAAATAGATTATGAGTGATTGCTTGGAGATAGTTCATAAGAGTTGGCTGATTTTCATGATCATTAACTAGTTTTTAAAGTCTTGTATGGAGATTAAAAACTGCTTTTTTTTCTATTAGGACATTGCTTTCCTTGAAGAATACATGCACATTCATTCTCTGTCACTGATCTTTTTGAAATTCTTCTATGAGTCTATGTACAAAAACATGAGCATTCTCTATTCTGTTTTCCCATCTTTTGTGCCATGCTTATATTGTTTTGAATACTTGGAGATCCACTCTACATGCACTCATGTACAGATTACAGATTTTGTAGAAATGATACTGGTGATTGAACAGCAATGCCATTGCAAAAGTGTCTTCTTATCCTACTGTGCATATAATTTATTTTCGAATCAGCAATCACTTCGCTGGCTTCTTCAGGCAAATGTGGCTTTAATTTAGTAAAAGCTCCTGGAATTTTATCAACTAGAAGCAGTAACAATGCAGGCAACACATTTTTAAATTGAAGTTTTGTGTTTGTATAGCATGGCCAATTCTGAATTTTCTACCCAATGCAAATAAAGACAACAACAAGGTAATAGTTCCACTTAACATGATGCAATGATCCTGCATATAACCAAAAATGCACTAATCCCTCTTCCAGAATTTGGATTTCAGAATTTCAACATTTAGGATTTTAATCTTTTGGGATTGTGATTTTTGGTATTTTAGACTCAGAGATTTAGACTTTAGACATTTGTTTCTTCTAGAATTTTAAGAATATAGCATTTGGAATTTTATCATTCAGGGTTATGATCCAGACCCCTTAAAAGATCTTTTTCCTCTGTGTAAGCATCAATAGAAGGGTGATTGGTCCAGACCATATTTCCTTGTCCTGTCCTACTCCTTGGTTTTTCACCCTACCAAATGCTTAATATACAGGTATATGCTACTTTACTAAAACAGGAAAAATTAAAGGCAATTATGTTCCAGGAAGTGAAAATTTAAAATTCTGTACCTCGTGACAGTTTTTAATCATTCAATGAAAAATGTACAGGTACTTAAACACTTTCTGGCTGTTGTCTCAAGCAAATGCCCCAGTTCCTTCTTATCTTACTCCCAGACCTAACATCCACCTTCTTGATGGAAAGAACACCTTCTTCTTGAAAACTCTATGAATTGTATCTTCACTTCCTGTGATGCTCCATATTGTTCTAGTATCTCGATTTTTCCTTATCTGGGAGTAAGACCCAATAGCCCCAGCAGTCTGCTTCTCTACCTTTGAGAGTTTTGTAACATCCAGTGGCAAGGATTGAGCTGGGTTTGGCAGGAGACTCTAGAATAAACCTTGGTAATCTTATTCCAGTATAAAAATCCAGAATAGCTTCAGAAACTCCTAGTCTAATTCTCTTCTAATATCCATGCCAAGGGATTAACAACTCTTCTTGGTCATTCAGCTGGTGACTATTGAATATGACACACATGGGTATCCATGAAACTCAGTCATTCCTGAAACAAGTATCAATTAAAAAAAAAATCAGTAGTGTGTAGATTCATATTAAGCAGAAAAATATTTCATGAAGCACAACCCAGTCTGCACAGTCTCCTGCATTATGCATGATAGATTCAGGCACGATTTCTCCCTAATCCTGATATTTTCCATTCTCCAGGATCAGAGCAGACCTTTGAATCTCCTGCTTAAGAAATAAATGAGTAAAACTGCAATTCAGATTATAGTTAAAAAAAAAAAAAGAGAAAGAAATTGGAAGCTGAGTCTATTTCTCTGAAGACTATGCAAATAATCAGGACAAGATTGAAAATTACCATTTAAAAAAATTTTGGACAGATAATATTTTTAGTGAGGCCATCCCCACTCACTTGTCCTTAAGTTTCAGGAAAGCTTTATTCAGGGTTGGGTAGAGAGATGGAAGACTGTCATCTCTTTCAATTGCTTTTGCTTTCTTTTCTTTTTCTTTTTAGCTAAACTGTGTAGGGAAATTTAGTCATTGTTTCTTTGTGGAGTTACTGTTTTTTTGGTTTTGTGGTTTTTTTGTGGTGTTTATTTTTCTTTTTTGTTTTGAAATGTGAGCTGCTACTTAAAATCAAATATATGTAGAGATGCTTTCTTCCTAGTCTTATATGCTTTCTTCCTAGGCTTCTCAATCAAGGTTAGAGAATATTAGCACCATGCAAGTTCCTTACCACATGAATTACATATATATCTAATGAACTGAAGTGGATCATTTTTTGATCATTTAATAACTCAGTTATAAGAATCTTTAGTTTTGTGGGCCCAACACTAATTCTATTACTGCTGAGTTTCTTAAACATTACAAAGGGGGACTAAGACAAACACGCACACAAACAAACAAACAAACAAAAAACCTGGAATTATTTTTTGGAGGGCGGGCCCCTTGTAGTACAAGCTTCCCCCACTAGGTACATGTTCTAAGAACCTACCCACATCCGTATACCAGCTAGTATTTTTGTGAGAGGCTGTCTCCAGCTTCAGTGAAATTTTTAAAAGATTGTTTCGAGGCGTTTGCCCATTTCATGATGGGTGAATTATGAGCATACCTGTCCACACCTTGCTGAGTGTCCAGCAATTTTTGACCAAAATGGCATGACTTCAATGCCCCACCCTCCCTATTCACCCGATCTTGTCCTAGAAACTTTTTCCCCCCGGATGAAAAAAGTCCTCAAAGGGAAATGTTTTGCTGATGTGGAAGAGGTGAAACAAACAGACAAAAATGGCAGAAGCACTAGAGAGCATCAAAATTGATGAGTTCAAAAACTGTTTTGAGTAGTGGAAAAAAGTGTCTCTACATGTGAATTGCATCAAATTAAGTGTACTTTGAAGGTGACAGGAGTTTAAACATGTAAGAATAAATACACAATTTTTAATAAACAAATTCCGAGATTTTTTTGGAGTCTCTTCTCATATATTTGTCTTTGAAAAAAGATAAGAAGGAAAATTGAACTTCAAGAATATATTTATATATAAAAAATCATAGATGCTGAGTTTTAGAAGTACTCTTTGAAACTGTCTAGAAACCACAAATGGAAACCAAGGGTCAGAAAGATCAGAGTAAATGACTCTGCTGCACATTATTTAAGAAATAGTTTTGATGTGACAAGAACAGCATTGCAGCAACAACCTTTATGCACTGCCCAGTCTTGAGGCAATCAGTCAGGAGTGATGAAGGGGAAAAATCCTAAAACAGTGGTAGCAAAAAATGAGCTGGCTAACCGTGTACAGATTTGAATGTTGCTAAGTAACACGAACACAAGTGAACCATGCTCTGAACCATCAAAATCATAGACTGTTGGAGTTGGAAGTGTTGGTGGTGGTCATTCAACTTCATTATTCCGCAGAGTAGGCTCAGAGCAGTTGAGTGGCCCGTCCAGCGTCAGTTTCTTACTGATGAATTAGAGCTAGAACTCAGGTCTTCAGAATCTTTACATAGTGGTCTTCTAATTGATAATTTCTAGACTTTTATGGAGGTGCTTTAGAGGCAATCTTGGGGGTGGTGAAGGAGAATCTGAGACTGTGGCACTGTTGCCCACTTTTAACACACCTTCCTTTTTTTTTTTTTTTGAGTTGGAGTCTCACTCTGTCGCCCAGACTGGAGTGCAGTGGCCGCTCCCAGCCACCGCAGCCTTGACCCGCTGGGCTCCCGCGATCCTTCCACCTCAGCCTTCCAAGTAGGCGGAATTATAGGCATGTGCTACCAAGCCCAGCTGATTGTTTGATTTATTGTAGAGATGAGGTCTCGCTGCCCAGGCAGGTCTTGAACCCTCAGGCTCAGGCAATCCACTCACCTCAGCCTCCCAAAGGCGCAGGATTACAGGCTGAGCTACTGAGCCTGGCTACCTGCATTTTTAATTGTTTTAATTACTGTGGTTCTAAGAGTTCACTTGCATTGGCTTTTACTCTTTTGAAAAACGCTTAAAAATTTTTGTACTATAATATGTTTCTATTTATAAACTGCAAACTATTTCCCTTGTAAAATATGATTTTTTTATGCTCATTAATTTGGTTCTTCTCCCTGTTGTTATTCCCATTTTTTTCTGTGATACCCTAAGTAGTTAGGCTTATAAACTTCAGCCTACGAAGCAATTTATTTCTCTAAAAATATAGGTTATATTACCAGAAATTTAGGCAAAAATCAGAACTTTGGTTCAATTTACTCTTGATTCTAACAGAAATCTGCTAAAATATTTAAGACTGAATAGTTTAATGTCTTGTTAAACTTATGGATAATATTCATTTAGACTTTTTAGATAGCCTTTAGGCTCCAAATACCAGGTTTTTAAGTCTTTTTTAGTGAGCTCTGATAAATAAAGCACCTGAGGCAAAATGTAGACTGTGACTTGAGCATGAATGCAAAATCTGTCTAATGTGGAAATCATCATTGGATACAATTTTCCTGAGCTACCTCCAGAGGTGACAAAAATCCTGTTAGGATCCTTCAATACAGTGTTAATTTCCTATGACTTACTCAGTTTTCTGTGGCTC